GCCCATGCCTCTGAGGGCTTAGTGGTTATGCTACCAACTTGAAGACATGAAGTTCCAATCAACCAGTTGCTCTGCAGGAGAAAGATGGGCAGTTTACTGCTTCTGAAAACCCTCTGGAGGGTCAGCTATGAGTCAGTTCTGACTCAATGGTACAAAACAACAACAGTTCAGATGAGACACAGCAAACTTCCGGTAAACACTCCGTCCCAGGTTAGCATTAGCTGCTTCCTCTCTGATAGTCTTTCTAAGCAAAATGTGGAATGTGTCCATTTCCCTTTGTCCTTGGACTAGGAGCACTGACTGAGTCAACTGATCTCTTTCTAAATGCTCAGATTGTAAGAAGCTCCTGATTAAGAAGTACCAAGGGCCCCAGAAACAATGGCTACGTTAAACAGCACAATTAATAAATGCCAGTGAGAGATTGGAACCCTCATGTACTGCTGATGGGAGTATAAAATGGTACAACCCATACGGAAGGCAGTCTGGTACTTCCTTAGAAGACAGAAAAGAGAAATACCATTTGATCTAGCTATTCTACTACTAGAAATATACCTTAAAGAAAAGAGATGAGATGTAAATAGATGTATGCACATCCACATTTATTGCAACATTATTCACAACAGCAAAGAAATGGAAGCACACAAAATATCAAAGCACTTTCTCAAAGTCATTGAGTCCAATCATATGTCTCCATAAGTACTCAGTCTCAGAGGCAACTGGCCAAACCTGGGAATCAAACTAGGGACCTTTAGATCTTCAGTCTCACTCTCCCAACTGAGCTATTTCAGCTGCCCAAGCCTCTGGGGGCTTAGTGGCAAGGAGTTGCGCTACCACTTCAAAGGCACTCGGTTTGAGTCCACCAGCTGGGAGGGTGAGTTTGGGTATAAGATTTTTTCCTAGCCACATCCCACCAGCTCTCTATTCACATATCCCACCATACTGTCTGTGGGTCATCGGGAGCTCTTCCTTCCTTGAGGAGGCTTAGAGATCTGTTTCCACCCAAAGGTCTTTAAACCTTCTTATAAGCCTCTCCTCTGGTCCTAGCTTTCACTTCCTCTCCCTCTGCCCCCACCAAACAATGGTATCTGGGACTGAGGTCTTTTGTTAGCAATGAAGACTATGAATGGTTTATGATTTGGGGCTAGAAATTTTCTTCAAGATCCTGTCTTCTCTTCTTTTGTCCTCCAAAATAAACACTCTTTCTTTGAAATTCCCTTTTGAAGCTTTGACCTCATCACAAGCTGGTTTTTGGGTGTGTTTTTTTTAAGTAGTCTCCTGAGAAACAGGATTCTTCCTTCCCAAATCAGCAGGAGCCAGGCTATGTGCTTTATCATTTTAAGGAAGGTCTTTGCAAGTCAAACATTTCCTTTTTTCATTCAGGGTTAGGGCTGAGAAATGTGACGCTCCTGCTTACAGAGGAGCGAAGGAGAAGGCACCTTTCTCTGCATATGAATGGTGGCCATTCTACAAAGCAGTGAGGATGGGTAAGAAAGTTGCCGGAGATTGCTGGCTCCCGCAGCGCAGGCGTTGTAAAGGGAAAAGCATGCATTTACAATGTGACAGGTCTGAGTTCAAATCCATCTCTCCTTGTGTGATCCATGAGCTGCCATTATAGACTTACAGTCGTGGGGATGCAGTGAAGGGCCACCATGAGTCTGAATTCAAGGGACAACAAGAGAGTTTGGATTTTAGAGGGGAGTAGAGTATTGAAGGCTGATAGGTAGGTGCTCAATTGTTCTAGGATTTGAACCAGGGGCTCCTGCATGGAGGGCAAGCATTCTACCACTGAGCCACCATTGCCCCTTCGAATTTCCTGTCTCTAATCAATTGACTTGGCTAGATTTGACTCATGGAGACCCCTTTTGTGAGTATACTGTGCTCCACAAGGCAGTCAGGTGGCCTCCAGTTTGCACCATTCAGGGATTTCTAATTGTTGTTGTTTTGTGTAGTCAAGTAGGAACTGACTCTTCACGGACCCTCCAGTGGGTTTCAGAGGCAGTTAATCATGGGGAAGGAAATTGACCGTCCTTATTCTGCAAAAGCAGTTTTGTGGATTTGCACTGTGTGTCTGCTGTCTTAGACCCTATTAAACATGGACGCTTTAATATCCTGTCACCTTACTGACACCCAGCTTGCTACTGATGAACCAAAAGGAAAGGCATGTGATGTTGTGACTAACGAATTTGAATGACTGTATAATGCTTTGGAATGAACCCCTGACAGGAAGATGATGGATGCAGAAAAGCTCAAATGCCTTTCGTTTCTGACCATGTGGGAAGATTTCTTGCTGTGACTGATCATCATTGAAAGAAGATGGATGAAGATGAGGGGACTTGCAAGCAGTAAAACTGGGGGTTACAATTGTGTCTTCCTAGATTCTACTTTTAAAAGAACTCCCCTTGTACTGGGTTTTATTAGCGAACACCTCAGATATACACTGACAGGAATAAAACTCAAATACCAAAACCCACAAAAACAACAAAGAAGAGGAAGGCTTATTCTTGACAATTTGAATGGGCCTGCGGGGGAGGACTTTTGTTTCTGAGACTCTCTCCTAACACTAGCTGGGTAGTCAGCAAGGTCCTGGGTGAAATATCAAAGGTATTTGTGCTGAGCGGAAACTCAGAAATAAAGAGAGCAAATAGAATTTATTCTTTTACTCAGTGTTTCATGATGGGTAGCTTGTCACCTATATTTATACCAGATAGTGGGTTTTTTGTTGTTTTTGTTGTTTGTTTGTTTAGCTCCAGGGGAAAGTCTGTAATTTTGGTTATCTATTTCTTTTCAGTTCCAGGGCTCAGAATGTCTCTCATTCTCTTTCCTTTACCACCGTACTCATATCATGCACACTCTCTTTCTCTACCTCTGACTTTAGAGTATTTTTACCTTCCTTAGGAGGAAGGTAGAACATTTTCTGTTCCCTTACATTTTATGCATTTTGTGAATTTCTCGTTGTTTTGGGGTCTGTGTTGTTGTTGACTATCAAGTTCTTTCCAACTCATAGACGCCCTGCATAGGTACAGTGGAGCCTAAACTGTAGGTTTTACAGGAGCTAATTGCGTGGCCTTTTCTCCCTCAGAGCTACTGGTGGGTTTGAACTGAACTTTTGCTTAGCAGCCAAGCACTTAACCGCTGTGCTGCAGAGTTCCTTTCTGCTCTCTCTGGTAGTTTTAAATATACCAGAAGCAACAGAGATCATAGACTTTCAAGGCACTTGCTTGTTTATCTTGAGATCTCAACTTCCTGAATGAACATTATTCCACTTAAAAAAGTTGAGTTAAATTTCCTTTTGAAATTATTATAAAAACCACTTTTTATGAATTCTTTCTGGTGACAGACACTTTTTAATTGCAGACAAGAAATACAGAAAAACACAAGAAGGCAAACAAAGATCACCATATTTTTGGATTACATGACAGCAAATATTTTCATATCTTTGTTAACATTCATCCTGAAAATGCCATTTTGTAATCTGCTTTGTTCAGGAGGGGTGGGTTAAGGAAATGGGAAGATCTGCTGTAAATAATAATGCTTATGAATTTTGTAAGTAAACCAGTATAAAATAAAAATTTTATATTTCTCAAGAATAATATTTTTTAGGAATAATATTTTATCATTAATTTATATTCCATTTTAGGGCCACAAAATTAACCAGTTTTTCCTACTGTTGAACATTTGCATTATTTTCTAATTGAAAACTATGAGCTGAGGATGTTTTCTTGGTCATCAGTCATTTCACTCCTTAGAATGTCGGAAATCCTTCTTCTCTGCAAAGTGTGCGGCCTATGCAGATGGGGAGACCCCAGAGCAGCCACATTCAAAACTGGGAGACCATTCACTGAGTCCCAGTACTCTTTGTGGGACTCTGTAGAAGTGCAAATGAGGAACCTAGAATCCACATTTTTCCCTGTCATTTGTCCTGTGGCCTAGGTCTTGATTTACAGATACCCCCAGAAGTCCAGATTAAAAGAGTAAATGTGCTTCTTGAATACAATTCAAGTCCAAAGGCTTCCTGTTCCCCAAATTGCTTGGGGTGCCTTAAAATTAACCCTTCTAAATCTGAGAGCCATGATTATGTTCCTCAGGCCCAGTGACTAGGTGTCAATGTTATTCTGTTAAACACTGAAATCTAGGGGTTTGGATATTGTGAGTTTCCCTCTTAAGTTACAGGATAACTGGGGTACAGAAGTAAGGATTCCTGTTCTCTTTTGATCTCGAGGCTTCCAAATCAAGTAAGAAAGAGTCTCCTCTGAATATATCCTAGAAGAACTTACTGCAAAACGAAGCTGAAGTTCCCAATCTGGGAAAATGACAAAGCAGGGTTGTTTCCCAGCTCTCTGATGGGAAATGGCTCGTGGGACCTGGTCTGGGTAAATCATAGTTCCCTGCCACTTACTGTGACCATGTGCCTCTGGAGAAGGTTTGTGAACTGGAGAAATTCTTAGGTCGTATTGCACCTTGTCTTCCCCCAGGCTTGGGTGGAAAGAATTTTCCAAAGTGCATAAGCTAGTGAGAAATCCAACAACCGAAACCCCTCCCACCAGGTGGCTCTGTGGTCTCAGCCCCACTGACCTGCGGGACGTGTAGCGGGCCAAGCTCCAGAGTCTGAACCAAATCTTTTCAATATTTGCTTCCGCTCCCTCTGTTCTCCTAAAGGAACAAGTCCTTTTGAGGGTCTCTCTGGATATGGACCCCAAATGAAACTCTCACATTAACAAGTGTTATAAGTACAGTCACAAAAACTAGGGAGATAACTGGAAGATGAAATCTTTTGTGCTCTGCCTATGTCAGAAGGTTGAGGTTCTAACGTCAGCTCTGACAAGAATATCCTGTATATAATCTTAGGCCTCCATTTCCTAACTCTCTCAGCCATCAGGAGGCCTATAAACTGGCCCTGTATTTCAGCAATTGTTTCCCCATCTACTCTCCTCTCCAAAGGGAAGCTGTGACCTGCGTGTGCACTTGTGTGCAGTGCTCTGGAGCGCTGCCGGGTCCCAGGGCTAGGCACCGTCTGGGAACAGAGTGCAGTAGTATTTGTGCACCACGTGCCTGCACTGGTCGCACTTGACCCTGCAGCACCACTGGAATTTGCAGTTACAACTGCTGCCGACCTCCTGCACCTTCTCTTCCACCCGCAGGCCGCACTCGGTGCACAGGTGCCCGCAGCTGCCATGCCGCTGGCCCCTGGACGCGCCGCGGCTGCTCTGCAGGCACTGCCTCCCCTCGGTGCCATAGATGCCCAGGCTGGAATTGCGGAAGCAGTAATCTGGGGAATCTTCCAAGAAGACCAGCTCAGCCTCTGCACCAGGGAGGAAGGCTTCGTTGGGTGCCTGGCGTCCCTTAGCACTGTTCCCGGCCCTCAGCTGGTGTTTATCCACCTCCATTTTCAGCGCCTGGTGATATTTGACCTTCAGGTAGTCTCCCGTCTCCCGGAAGTCAGCCAGCTGCAGCCAACATGTCTGGACGCTGCAGCTCCCGGAGAAGCCGTGGCATTTGCAGTTCTTCTTCATGGTGGCTCTCACTGCCTTCACACACACACACACACACACACACACACACACACACACACACGAAGGGAGGGAGAGAATGAAGATGGTATGACTCTGGGTAGAAAAACCAAAAGCCGCCTAGTGATGAACTGGAATATTTTCAATCTAAGCATTTTAGAGCTGTGCTTATTGGCTTCAGAGGAAGTTCTAGGAAAGCTCAGGAAAATATTAATTCCTGAACTCTACTTTAGATCTTTTCAATGAGCATATGCAGGAGGGTAAGGGCTTTGGCATGACTGACCCATAGCTTCCCCTCCAGTAGTGGCTTTTCAGAGGCCTCTGAAATTGCACGGGAGGAGATTGCCCAGCCTTCTCTGGCAGAGCAGCTGGTGGATTCAAACCATGTGCCTTTGGGTTTGCAGCACAGAGCTAGGCCCCAGAGCTCCCAGTTAGTATGACTGGTAATTTTAACTATTCCCTGGTGGTTCTAGTTATTGAGCCAGTAAGTGGAGTCAGGAAACCTAAGCTCCAGGCCCAGCCCGGCCACTTGGTGAGCTCTCTACTAATGGAAGTAAGAGTCACTTAAAATAACGATCCAGAAAGTGCTCTGTAAATGAAGGCAGACAAGAAGACCACTGTCCTTGCCATGGTTTTAAAGCTGGAGCGAGTGGGTCTGTGGGGGTTTGGATTTCTGCTCCCCACAGGTAAGGAAGCTCCTTAGAATCCAAACTCCCACTGTCACTTCCGTTTGTCATTTCTTTGAAAACTTCTCTTTGTCGCAGCAACTAAGACAAGGTAGGGACAGATTTGACAGGGAATGTTCAATGCTCTGAGCTCTGGGTCCAACTGGTTTTCAGATTTGAGTTCAGAATATTCCTGAGACCGCCATGCCACAGAAACCTGGGGATGAATTGTAAACCTGGGAGGAGAACAGATTTCCACCAGGGAAATCCATATTCTCAGGAACTGGCCAATCCTTGGTAGCCTAGAGAGAGCAGCAGAGACAATGCTGGGCAACAGTTCATTTCCTAAACACACAGTTGAAATGGTAAAAGAACGCCATGGAAGCAAGGCCTTGGCGGTCTGTGTTCTCAGAAGCCTGCCTGTGGAGGCGGCCAGAACCAAGAGTTTAGTGCTAAGAGGGCTACACTGAGAGTTGGAAGACCTGAGTTCATTGTCTGGCTCCGATGTTTGTTAACTGTGCTGTCCTGGGCAAACCAGCTGGCTCAGGCTTAACTGGCTTCATTATCCAGAGAATGGGGGCAGTCATCCCAGCCATGCAGGGTGGCATGGGTGTGAAACGTGTGGATCTGATTCAGATCTTGGTAAATCATAAAGGGCTGCCGATGAGAGGCTGGTGCCAGTGCCGAGCGAGCCTGCGGGCTCCCTGGCTGACTCGTGTACGCACCAGCCTGCCTGCCTGGTTGTTGTGAAGATTCATCAGGGCTCGGGCATCCTTCCCCTTCTCCAGGCCATCCACAAAGAGTCTGGAGATTCTTTCTCCAAATTCCACGTTGTCGCTGCAGCCTCCCCAAATCCAGCTATGGCCTCCTATGCACAAGGAAAGAACAAGCTCTGTGTGCAGCTTTCTGCTAAATCTCAAAAGAAGAGTTATGATGATTTCAGCTGATAAAACCAACTTGTACCCAAGGCTCCATGTCCAGGGACCTAGCCTCCAGGTGCTCTCTAGCTCTAGGCCTTAGTCTCTATACCCACCATGATGGCAGGGACACTAGGTGATCGGAGGTGGAGCCCAGCCCAAGCAATCCTTTGCCTTCATTAGTGACAGTCTAAGAAGTTTCTCCTTTTGCCTAAAAATAGTGGAGAAGCCGTGTAACCCACTCTCAGCCTGTCATACCCAAGGTCAACTTTAGACTCTCTTTGGCCTCTTCCTTCCCAGTTGGAGCTAGATTTGGAGCTCAGTGAAATGCACTAATCTTTAGATTTGTTCATCTCTGGACTCAAGGCTTAACCCCAAGAAGAGTCTTAGATCCAAGAGTTCCCACAAATGCAAGGGCGCTGGGGCTGGGACATATGTGTCCCTCAGCTCTGCAGCCCTTCCCCAGCTCCCCTCCCAATCAGAGGCCACAATTTACCTGTTTTTCTGTTTTTCGACTTATCACAGCCACAGTCTTCAAAATCTCCCATGCTGCAATTCTTGGTGATGGTGAACGTGACTCCAGCAGAGCTGATTGCATGAATGAAGGAAGTCTCCCTAGTGGCTTCAGAGAGGAGGGAACTGAGGATTCTGATGATCTAAAGCAGGGGGCTGGAGCTAACAATGCCACTTCTCTCTCTTGCCCCCACCTGCTTTGGGTTTAAGAAGGTTCTCCTCCTTGAGAGAACAATGCACCCTTTTCTGGCATCCTTATTTCATCTGGGTGGCAATGAGCACACCCATACTTCAGATGGGGAAAGTGAAACCTTGAGTGAGATGGGGAAAAAGACCAAGACCCCTCGCCTCCCCAGCTGTGGAGCTGGGACTGTGCCTCTGCTCTCTTGTCCACTGAGAGCTCTGCCCACTAGTCACTGCGCCTCATCTTCAGGCAGGAACAGTGAGGACGCGAGGTCCTCATGTGGAAAAGAGCTAGGATCTTGTCTTCATCCTGACCATGGAGTAACAATACTGATATTGGCTACCAATTACTAGAGAAAGAATGAAGAAAGGCCAGGGTTTCTCAGCGTTTTTGCGGAGAAATTCTGAATGGCCAAAGGGGGAAATCAACAGCTCTTCTCATCTGCAGGGACAGCTTCTGTGGCAGGGCTGCAGGAGCCACTGACCCAGTATTGTCACATTTCATTTCCACATACCCCATCTGTACACCCTACAGGAAGAGATTTCTTTCTATCCCATCCCCTCTGCCTCCTCCCACCAACTCTTCTCTGCCAACTCTATTGTTTGTACATAAAGGACTTTTATGTGAATTGCCACATGCAGTTACAAATCTGTATAGGTGTACAAGTGTGTGTGGAAGCACACACACACACACACACACACACACACACACAGAGAGAGAGAGAGAGAGAGCGAGCGCCTCCATCAGAAGTATAACTCAGTATGATCTCTTAGCTTCTTTATTTATGATCACTGGGCAGATGGAAAACTCTCTCAGGTGCTATAAGCACAGCCCTTTCCCTGTTTTCAGTCCATACACATCAGTTCAAGATAAGTGTGCATAAGACATAAATACATTGCATTCACAAAGCACAGTCATTGGCGACATTTGTATAGAGATACTTCATTCAATCCCTACACTTTCCCTCATGAGCCAAGCCTTATTGACCCACATAACAAAAATGGGGTGAAGAGAAGGGAAGTAACTAATTCAGGGTCACACAGCAGAGAGCACCAGGCCAGCAGATCACGCATCACTTCTCGTTGTGCTGCACACATAAATGTCACACTTACCCATAGACCCCATAGCTAGGCATGGTCCCCCACACACTTACCACTTCTCAGCCTGTTGTGAGTGGAGAGCTGGAGAGCATTTTCCGGGCAGTTCCAGCGTTCCCACGCAAACTGGAACTTACACTCCTCGACGCCACTCTGGGCGCCCAGGGCCACACTGGTGGTATAGGTCTGATAGGCCTGCAAAAGGGCAAAAGGTTGTGCGCTCCAGCCCTGACTCTGGTTCCCTGGGTGGAGGAAACAGGCAAGAAGTCTCCTATGGGCTAATTCACTATCTGTAATCCCCCCCTTTTATTATTCATTGTTGTTTAGTTCACTATTAAGGAGCAATTGAGGGTTCTTCTGGCGCTATCTCCCTCTCCCCCCTTCCCCCCCTCAAGTGTCCACTTAGGACCCAGCTGGGTAAAGAAAGGAGTCAGAGATTATCCTACCTTGGGACCTGTTATCAGGAAATTGTTCACTGACCTACCAAAAAGAGAACAGATGAAGCAGAGGTGAATGGGAAGGAGAAAATTGGGGCGCTGCATTGTAGGGGTGGAAGGAAGACAGAGCTGAGGGGCAAGAACTTACCAAGCAGAGGCACTGAGGGTGGCACAGCAAATGCCCATGGCCCCCCAGAGCATACACAGGTCCTTCATGGCCCCGCACACCCCAGAGGACCAGGTCAGTCCAGGGCCAAGTGCAGAGAAGGAGTGAGGAGAGGTCAGGACCTTTCTCAGTATTTATTTGGGAAAATTCAGAGTGGTCAAGGGGGGCAATCAACAGATCTCCTCACTTGTCCCTCATTGGCAAGGCTGCTGGAGCCACCGACCCAATGGGGGGCCAGGGAGGAGGGACTCAGACCAAACCCTGCAAGGAAAGCCCCGCCTCACCTCACGCTGGCCCGCCCAGGCTGGGAGAGGGGCTGAAGGCTTTCTCTTAACCTTTTTCTCTCTCCTTTGGGCTTTGTTTCCCACGTAAGTCAGAGTTTGTGCTCTTCTTGCTCTTGAGACCAATTCAGCAAGACAGCTTCGGCCTCTATCACCACAGTCAAGTCACCCAACACTTTGAGATGACGTGTCCTCCTTTGTCCGATGAGACTCACCCTATTCATTGCTCTGCCTTCCTCTCCAAGGTGTTAATAATTACAGAAGACCTCTCTTTGGCGGTCTCTGCTTATTCATTTTACTCAGACAAGTGAGTGCACCATTCCGCTCTGTTCCTCAGGAAGAGTCATCGAGTCATCAGGGGTTGTGGAGCAGACACCCCTCTGACACCATCTCTGCATCCCTTCACCACACACCACCGGTTCTTTCATTCCTGGTAGCTGTAGGTCTCACAGGAGGTTATGGCCAATCTTTGTCTTGCAGAGTAGCCGGTGCATTCAAACTGCCAGACGGTTAGCAGAGCAACTCCCTGGGGTTTGCCCGGTCAGAGCTCCCTTTTATGGTAGGTTGTTGCTGGGAGTTATCTAAATGAACCATAGCTGACCCTTCAGCAGGTTTTCAGAGGCTGTAAATTGCACAGGAGGAGACTGACCATCTTTCTCTCATGGATTCAAACCATTGCATTCAAATTGGCACCACAACTCCTTACCACTCTGTTGCATCCTATCTCCATACCTTTTCAATCTATATGCAGAGCAGATCATTCAGGAAGGAGGGCTCTATGAGGAGGAATGTGACATCAGGAAGACTATCAACAACCTATGTTATGCAGATGACACAATGTTGCTTGCTGAAACAGAAAATGACCTGAAACGCTTGCTGCAGGAGGTCAAGGACTCTAGATAAAGATTCTCACCACTGGGCCAATTGGCAGGACCATGATAGATGGAGAAGAGATTGAGGTTGTTAACAATTATAGCTTGCTTGGCTCCACAATCAACATGCAGTGTTCCTGAGTCCTATGTGTAAACTCTAAGGTTCTTCCTACAAGGCATCTCTAAAGAACATATTCTGTTCCTGAGGGCAGGATTTCCAGTTTGTCAACTATTCTACAGCAAAGAGCCGATCTTTGAGTCACCCAGGGCTTTACTTGAGGTAACTGATGTCATTCTTTCTGACAGCACTTAGCTGCTGGGAAGTCAGTGTCCTCAGGGAGGAATAAGTGTTTTGAGTTCACTTGGTTGTTGCTAGTGCTTAAGGGGTGCCTGGATCAGATAACAAGAGCGGGAATGGGAGAACTTGTGGTTCCCAGGGCTGACTTAGGTGCTGGTGACTTAGGTGCTGGTAAGCATGACACCATGAGAGAATCAGAGGCGTAGGTGAAGTTCCTCCCTGGGGTTTGGAGCCAGGGAAGAAACATTCAGAGGAAAGTTCAGATGAGAAGTCAGTCATAGTCCTGACTCATTACCCTGTGACCTCTGCAGTGTCCAGACCACTTCCCGGCACACTGGGGTTGGTTTGGACAGTCATCCCCCCACCAGAGGGGCGTCCAGGGCCAAGGAAGAACACTCAAGGTGAGGGGGAGGGGGCAGGCTGTGAACGGATTTTCCTCCTTCAACCAGGTAAGCATGGAAATTGAAACTTTTATAGCATAGAAAAAATGTTGTGGTTGGACTTTGTATGCAAACCAATAGAAAAGAAAATAAAGTAAAAAACAATTATTTATGTGTATTACTGCCGGAGTAATTTACGTTGGGTGAATCTAAAAATTGAGGCTCCTATTTTTGAAAAAATTTAATCACTCATACACATTTTGTTTTATTCATGTATACTGTATTTTATACAATCATGGCTCTATATTGTGTTTTATATAATTATTTACTTTATTTACTATTATTTATTTGATCAATGTCTTTTATCACCTTGTATTATCAAGTCCCCTTGAGGATCCTATTTTGTATTTTTTTTTTTATTTCATTCTTTCCCCCAAGAGGATTGGTGTAAATATCACAAATGCATATATATTTACTGGGCTAAAGCTCCGTCTCCCAGACCCCAGAGCTGCCCCACCCTGCCTTGTTCCTGCCCTTGTCCCTGTGTCACCAGCCTGGATAGGCCCAAACATTTTAAGTGTTACACAGCACAGAGGAAAAAGGAGTCCCAGACTTCAGTCACTCAGAAAAAGTGCTTCAGTGGTCTTTTCTCTATCTTCTACCTTTTGCACTTAAGAATTGTCAAGTTTAGCTTTGAATTCTTAAGACTAAAACCACTGCCACTGAGTTGTTTCTGATTCATGGTGACATGACACTGTCCCTGCTGCTCCTGCAGGGTTGCTGGTGGATTTGAACCACTGACTTTTTGGTTAGCAGCCCAACACACAATGCAGTAAACTGCTAAGGGCCCCTTATTCTTAGATCAAAACCTAAACCTAACCCTCTACTGTCAAGTTCACAGAAAGCACAGAGCTTTTCTGAGGCTGTAAATCTTTTTTGGGAAGAGACTTCCTATAGAACCCCTCCCCAGAAGGAGCTGGTGGATTTGAACTGACGACTTTTTAATTAGCGGTCTGGCCTGAGACATACTGCCACCAAGACTCCTTTATTCTTAGACAGTAGTTTGATTTCTATGCTATTTGTTGTGAGGTCTGCACAGAGTTAGACCTGAATTAGTTCCCCTATCATACCCACTGACAGAGTTTTAGGAGTAACTTCACTCTTACTTCCTGAATATGAGCAATTAAATCTTCTACTATCAAACATTTAAGCGAAACAATATTATTGTTTCATTTACTAGGGAGCAGAGGGGAAAGCAGTGAGTTTTTGTGTGCAAACTTTGTGTGTTCTCTTAGAGCTCAAATTCTCCAAAGAGCAGATAAAACCAAATACTTACAATGGCGTGGTAATGTGTGGGGACTGTGTAGAGAAGGAATATTCTAACTGGGGAAATACATGTGTGGAGAATGGCTCTTTCTTGCTGAATTTAACTGGCAGTGCAGTATGCAATAAATAGGATTTTATGATGATCACAAACAAATCCTTCCAAGAGGAAGATGGAGAAGAAATAGTTACCTATGATCATCTGTGTAAGAATTGTCATCACACAGTTGCCAGGCATGAGTACACAGTCTGTTATCTGGATCAATTTCAGGAGTATACCATGCTGTCTCTATTATGTGGCAAAAACAAAGATTCTAAAGGTATTCTCCCTGTTGACTCTTGGCAGATGACTTTCTTGTTCTAAGGATCTTCTGCAGTAATCATGTAGACAATACAGCATACCTGATGGTTGTTGTTGTTGTTATGTGCCGTCGAGTTGCCTGCGACTCATAGCGACCCTATGTACAACAGCCTTAAACTCTGCTCTGTCCTGTGCCAATCTCACTGTCTCTGACACACCCATCCCGATAACCCCAGTCACTGAATCAATTCACCTCATAGAGGGCCTTCCCCTCCTGCACTGTCCCTCCACCCTGATGGTTAGTCTGAAAAAATAAACCAAACCAAGCCCCAAACACATTGCTGTGGAGTTGATTCCAACTCATGGTTGACCCCAAGAGTGTCAGAGAACTGCGCTTCAGAGGCCTCGGTGACTTTCAGAAGTGAATCGTCAGCTATTTCTTCTAAGAAGATAGTATCTGTAAAAGATACCCAGGATGTTAAAGAAAGGTCCCTAGTACAGGAAATAGGAGCCTTGGTTGGACTCTATTTTCATGTATCACCTCAGGCAAGTTATTTGCTAACATGTAGACATAGTCTCCTCATTGTAAAGTGAAGGAGTGGGAGGAATGTTGAATGAGCCAATAAGAACCACCCAACTCAATTAAATGCAACGATTCTAAACTTAATATATGCAGAATTTATTAATATCAAAAAAATTTATTCATCTTGGTTACAGATCGGAAATGCAGCAATTTTATCTTCCCTAGCCATAAACTTTGTCTTTTTCAGCTGGCCATTAGGCTAGACCTTTGAGTTACATACCTGAAAGAAAACTAACACCTTCTGCAGAGACCATTGGGTGTCTGTCCACCTAAGTCTCTTGTGCCAGATGACCAAAGTCCCTCATTGCAGACAGAGAGGCCTCCTGAAAAAGTAAAAAGTACCCTGGATAGACACTACATATTGGAGTCTACAAATCATTTGTAAACAAACTACCCATCAATTTTATTATCTCCAGTTCTAGTAGTTTTTATTTTGTTGTGATCACAATATACACACTAAAATTTAGACTATCTCAATTTCTACACGTATAATTCAGTGACATTGATTATATTCTTCTCATATGTGATTGTTCTCCATATCTTATTAATTTGAATAAATTTTTAGTTACTTTATTGTTGTTGAGAATATACACACCCCAAACATACACCAATTCAACAGATTCTACATTACAATTCAGTGACAATGATTATCTTCTTTGAGCACTGCCACCACTTCCACCCTCCCTTTCTGACTTGTTTCATCCTCAGTAACATAAACTCCTTGCTCCCTAACATTTCTTACTAATCTTTTGAGTTACTGTTGCCAATTCACCCCTTACATATAGTTCTTAAAAGAGCATATTATTCAAGATACACATTTTTTATTAGATAAAGTACTGTATTAAGATCAAGAAAACAAAGATTCTCACCACACTGGGCCGACTGGCAGCATCATGATAGATGGTGAAGAGATTGAGATTGTTAACAGCTTTAGTTTGCTTGGCTCCACAATCAACATTCTTGGTACCAGCAGCCAAGAAATCATTGGGTAAGTCTGCTGTCAGGGACCTCT